GCCCGGCTCGGCCCATACAAGGCAGAAGAATGCGGCGGGGCCGGGGCCGCGAGGCCGGGGCGGCGGGACGGAGCTCCCGGCCTTATATAGACGAAAGGGCGGCGGGGGCGGCCCACGCGTGGCCCCTTCCCCGCGGGGAGATGCTCGGAGATGCTCGGGGCGGCGCCCGGGGGGCTGGGCACCGGCGCGACCCGGCGTCCCCGTGTCACCGCCTCCCAGCCCGGTGACACAGGGGACACCGTGCTGTGCGCAGCTGGGGGCACCCACGGGTGACACCGGCCCACGGGTGGTGCTTCACTGCGGGGCTTCCTGGAGCAGCTCTGGGCCCCCGCCAGCAGGTGTGGAGCTCCCTGTAGGGCAGGAGTGGGGTTATAGGGAGAAGCCCCGAGGACACCCAAGGCTGGCTGAAAGCCTCTGCTAATGGCCCAGGGGACCGGGCTGCAAAGGGAACGGTGGCCGGAAAGCTCAGCCGGTTGGCACTGAGCCCTGCCTCTGCCCCAGGCGGCGAGCCCCCAAAAAGGACTAGGTTAAACAGCTCCTCAAAGTTCCTCGGGGTGGAGAACAGCCAGGAACCTGCCCTGTTCCCAACCTGGGGCCTGGAGCCCAGTGGGACAGGGATGGGGAGCTCCTGCCCTTCCCTGGGGACAGGCACCAGTCCCAGGGACACCTCTCCAGGGCAGCAAGTCCTTTCCATCAGCAGTTTCCTTCCCATCAGCAACCCTGAGCCACTGAGGTCCCAGTCCTGTGGGATCCCCCTTGGGAGGGTGATGTGTCACCCCCCGACATCATCCCAGGGGGATTTGTCTTCGGTTTGGAGAACACCATGACATTGGGGCCAGAAATCAGCCTGCAGAGGAGCAGGCAAGGGGGAGAGGGAGTGTTTCTGGGGGGGATTCACCCAGCCCTGGGGTGGGCAGCTGGAGCAGGGCTGCTCTGCCTGGGTGCTCCGTTACTGCCACGGAGAGAGGTGGGAGATCAAGGAGAAGGACCATACCCTGCTGTCACCCCTGGTCACTTCCCAGCGTGGCAGAGCCATGCCGAGGGGACAGCGTGGAGCACACAGGCTGCACTTGCAGCAGCACAGGTGAAGGGCAGAAATGAGCAGTGACACAAATTAACCTTCAGCTGCCGTTCTCTTGCGGGGCATCACTACAAACAGTACTTAAAATCCACGAATCCTGTTCCATCACTGGCCCAAAAGCAGTGGCCATGTCCTCCAGCAGCCCGGCCAGATCCCGCCCAGGGCACGGGTTTTGTTCCCGCTGGCTCAGAAGACCAGTGACCTGCTCTGCCAGCAGCCTGCCAGGCCTGGGGACACCCTAGCCAGCCATGGCCCTGTGCTGCTTGGAAGAGATCTGCCGGGGCATTGCCCCTCCGCGGAGCAGGGAGCCACAGAGGTCGTTTGGTGTTCACTGGACACCATGTGTCCTGCCCACGTCCCCTCAAAGGAGAGGTGGTGCTGGGCTGGGGGGCAATCTGGGGCCGGGCAAACACTGGGGTGTTGGAAAACACCCACTGAAGGGATGCGTTGGACGGGGTTGGAAACGCCCCGGAGCAGAGGGGAGTCAGGAGGGCACAGAGCCTTCGCCATGCCCGTCATCTGGCTGGGAGGTCCCAAGGTTTGCCCTTTTAAATAAAAATATAAGGAAAGAGAAAGAAGAATGAAAACCAGAACAAATCCCAGGAGTCAGACAGCCCAAGCTGCCACCCCGTGGCTGATCCCAGGCTTTTCTGTGCTGGAAGAAAGGCCCAGCCTCAGCCGGGTGCAGGTGGTCCCTGGGAGCCTGGCAGGATGTAGGACACCCCTCCAGCCCCTCTGGTGGCCGCTGTCCCCCGTGAGCCCCAGTTCCTCACCACTGGGCAGGTGTCAGGACAGGCCCAGGGGAGGGGAAACTGGTGAAGATGGACAGTTTGGACATGGCAGCTCCTCACATGCTTTGCAGCCTCGGAAGCTGCGTGCATGTAGGGGGCTGCTGCTGGGCCACCTCCCCCAGCCCCTGGGGCTCTCCACTGAGCCCCATCCCGCCCTCCCCTGCCGGCGCCCAGGGCTCCCCATGAAATCCTGCTTGCCCTGCTGCCACGTGCCTGCCAGCACACATCCCTTACCGGGGGCTGTCCGTACCCTCGTGATATCCTCTGGCACTTCTCCTGCCTGCTCCTCCTTCTTTCAAGGCCCAATTTAATTTGCTTTTCCCTCTGGGCAGTAGATCAGTCAACGGCGACAGATTGGAACAAGCTGGCGGGGGGGCAGCACCTGAATTTTAGACTACAGGTGTCTCATCACCGTGCAAGCCCTTCCACCCCTGCAAAGCGGCCTCAGGCAGGAGCACGGAGCTGGGGAGAGTGAGACTCCTCACGTGTCTCAGACACAGCCTGAAGTCCTGGAAGAGCTCAGCCCTGGGCTCCCACAGCTGTCACCTCCCCCTGTGCTCAGTGACTGTGTCCCTCACAGAGCGGAGGCTGTGGAGCGGGAGGGGGGCTGCCGTGCCCCGAGCACTTGAGGAGAACCCCTGGAGCAAGGCTGGAGCTGGGGCACGTGAGAGCTGGGCCCTCAACAAAGGGCCCTGCCTTGGTGGGGGTGTCAGAGGCACAGGTCCTGCCACAGATACAGCAATGCCCCCCCCGACTGCACGTCCCCTGACTGATAACACAACATGGGTCGGTTGACTTGGACCAGCCTTTGGCTTGTGGCAAATGCCCAAGGGGTTGGACATGTGCTCAGGAGCTCGAGAGCTGGAGCAGGGCAAGATATTTTTGAAGTCCAGAAGTATCTTGCATTATCTGTATTTAAATGACATGGTCTCGGCTGGAAGTGATGGGGGAGGGTGGGACAAGGACTCAGCTGCCTGCTCCCCTCTGCGATAACCACACACGGCTCAGGCAGGTCCAGGCTCCCCCTGAAGGTTTCCAGGTCCTGCTGGAATCAAGAGCATGGCGGCTGCTACTGAATTATTTAGCACTAAACGGAGAGCAGTCGGGCTCCTGAGATGCTCAGCATCACCATTCACCAGTTTGTGCAGCAGAAAGGCAGGGCCTGGGGCTTGTTAATGGGGAAAGAGTGAACCTCATCATGTGTTAACAGGGACGTGCATGGGCAAGCAAGGGAGGAATGGCGCCATATGAAGGACCTTTGCAGGGCTCGGGCCTCACCACCACCCACAAGGTTCATTGCAGGACCAAGGTCTTCTAGTAACACTTTTGAGTGAGTCAAGCCCCAGGTCCTCCTGGTACCTACACCTCCTCCTGGTACCTACACCCACACAGGAAATTTGGTCATTTATTGTCACAAACCCAGGCTGTTCTCTGCCCACCCTGAAGAGAGTACTAGTGAGTCAACACCAGCCAAACTCCCTGCCCACCCCACAGAATCACAGAATGGTTTGGGTTGGAAGGGACCCTAAAGCCCCCCCAGTGCCACCCCCTGCCCTGGGCAGGGACACCTCCCACCACACCAGGTTGCTCCAAGCCCCCTCCAACCTGCCCTTCAACCCCTCCAGGGATGGGGCAGCCACAGCTTCTCGGGGCAACCTGGGCCAGGCTCTCACTACCCTCACACCAAACAAGTTCTTCCCCACAGCTCAGCTCCATCTCCCCTCTTTCAGGGTCAAACCCTTCCCCTTCCTCCTAGGGCTCCCCTCCCTCATCCAGAGTCCCTCCCCATCTCTCCTGGAGCCCCTTGAGGGACTGGAAGGGGCTCTAAGGTCTCCCCGGAGCCTTCTCTTCTCCAGGCTGAACCCCCCAATTCCCTCAGCCCCCCCTCCCAGCAGAGGGGCTCCAGCCCCCCCAGCATCTCCGTGGCCTCCTCTGGCCCCGCTCCAACAGGTCCATGTCCTTCTGCTGTTGGTGGCCCCAGAGCTGGAGGCAGCACTGGGGGGGGAGCTCATAAGGCAAGACTATAAAAGAAGACCCGAGCCTTCCGGACCCCACAGGCGATTGTTTCACTCGCAAACCCTTCCGAGAGCGTGATTCCCGCCGGGGGGTGCGTCTGGCCGCCCCGCTCGGACACACACCCCCCGCTGTGCCCTGTCCCGCACAGCCGGGCTTCCTCCCGAAGGCCCCGTCCCCGGGAGGGACCGCGGTGGCGCGCGATGGGAGGGGCAGCGGGTCGGGACCCCCGGGGCTCGGCGGGTGGCTGCCTGCCCGGGCGAAGGCCGTGCCCTGCCGCCGGGGCGAGCCCAAGGGCCGTCCCCGCAACGGGGGCTGCCGGCCCTTCCACCGAGGAGCGGCCGTGCCGGGCCTCCCCGTTCCCCCGCGGCGGCCCCGCTTCACCGGCCGCCGTGGCCGGGAGAGCCTCCCCCGGCTCGAGCCCGGCGAGGCCGCGCTCCCGCCTGACCCCTCTCTCCCGCCGTAGGGGGAGCGGCGCCCGCCTTTGTCACGTGTGGCGCGGGCGCCGCCGCCATTGGCGGAGCGGGTGGCGCGGGCGGGTGACGCTGCTCGGCGGCCGCTTCCGGGCCGGCGGCGGGGCC